TCTATACCATTCCAAGCATCAGCCAGATGCAGGCAGCTGCTGCTATCTCTTTTTATTTCAGGATTTTTAAAAAAGATTTATTTATTTATTTTGGGGGCAGAGGGGCAGAGGGAGAGAGAGAGAACCTCAAGCAGACTCCCTGCTGAGCACGGAGTCTCGGGGCTTGATCCCACGACCCCCAAGATCACAACCTGAGCCGAAATCAAGAGCTGGACGCCCAACTGAGCCACACAGGTGCCCCTCATTTCATGATTTTAAATCTCCTTTTCCAAATCAAATATCTGGAGGTTCATGAAGCCCTGGGTATGAGGAAAGTGTCACTCTGGGGAGAAGCTGGCTGGGCTGGGGTAAGAAGCAGGATAGCACACTTTGGGCTGAGAGACAATAGTTGCTAGGGAAGATACCAGCTGGAAATCCCCAGCTGGCCAAGATAACCCCAGAGGTCTGAAGGTCTTGCCAGCAAGGCCTGGACAAAGGACTTTTAGGCTCTAGAGGTTTGAAAAGACACAAAGAGGAGAAGATCCGAACTTTCCTCTGAGAGCTGGGAGGCAGTAGTAGTACCTTTGTGCCTGGGTGACCTTCCCTGCCCTTCACTCCCCAATCCCTTTTTAAGCATATCCTTAGGAGAGAAAGAGAGGCCGTAAGTGGTATGGGAGGGCCAAGTCCTAAAAGGCTAGCATTCAACCATCAAATCCTCCAATACTACTGTTGTAGGTAACTTTGTTGGACCTCTGTTTCTTCGCCTACACAGTGGGAATAATAAAACCTATTTCTTAAGGTTGTTGGCGGGATGAAAGGAGGTCATGTCTGGCAAAGAGAAGACAAGAGTGATCAGGAGTGATTTTCTGCCCTTCCATGAGGTCTCTTGCCAAGACAAGCGCCATATATCCCCGCACTGCCCCCCTTTACATTTTTTTAAAGATGTATCGAAGTATAATTTATGTATTATAAAATCCACCCATTATAAGTACACAATTCAATGATATTTAGTAAATTATAGAGTTGTGCAACCAACACCACAATCTAGTTTTAGAACTTTTCCATCACCTCAAAAATTTCCCCCGCCTAACGTGTGGTCCATCTCTGCCTGCACTATCCTCAGGCCTCGGAAACCACTGATCTGCTCTCTGTCTCCATCTGCACATTTCATGTAGATGGAATCATGCAACGTGTAGTCTTTTGCATCTGGCTTCTCTTAGCATCACGTGCTTGAGATTCACCCAAGTTGCAGCATTTATCAGGATTTCACTGCATTTTATTGTCGAAAATATTCTATTGTATGGGTATTCCACATTTTCTTTATCTATGCACCTGATGATGGACATCTGGATTGCTTCCAGTTTTTGGCTATTATGAATTAGTACTGCTACAAACATGTACATTCAAGTCTTTGTGTGGATGTAAGTTTTCAATTCTCTGGAGTAGGTATCTAAGAGTGGTCATATCTCACTCGTGGAAGAAAGTGCCAAACTATTTTCCAGAGTGGCTTCTCATCGTGTGTCCCCACCAGAGCGAGGGCTCCAGTTTCTCCATATCCTCACCAGCTCTTGGTTTTGTCTATCTTGTGGATTACAGCCATTCCAGTGGCTGTGTAGGTTTCTCATTACCTAATGATTGCCTAATGAGTAATAAAGCTGAACACCTTTTCATGTGCTTATTAACCATCATGCATCTTCTTGGGTGAAACTTCTATTCAAATCTTTTGTCTATTTTTAAACTGGGACATCTTCATGGTTAAGTTTTAAGAGTTCTTTGTATAGATTCAATACAAGTCCCTTGTCAGAGATGATTTACAAATATTTTCTCCTAATCTGTGACATGTCTTTTTACTTTCTTCACTGGATTTTTTTGAAGTACAGAGTTTGGAAGTTTAAAGATTTTATTTATTTATTTGAGAGAGAATGAGATAGAGAGAGAGAGCATGAGAGGGGGGAGGGTCAGAGGGAGAAGCAGACTCCCTGCTGAGCAGGGAGCCCACTGCGGGACTCGATCCCAGGACTCCAGGATCATGACCTGAGCCGAAGGCAGATGCTCAACCGACTGAGCCACCCAGGCGCCCCAGAGTTTGGAAGTTTAATGAAGTCCAATTTATCAATTTTTCTCTTTTGGTGTCATATCTAGGAACTCTCTGCCTAAATCATGGTCATAAAGATTTTCTCCTATGTTTTCTTCTAGAAGTTTTACAATTTTAGCTCTTATGTTTAGGTCTGTGATCATTTTGAGTTGATTTTTGTGCATGGTGTGAAGTAGGGATCCAACTTAATTTTTTTTTCCTTTTTTTTTTTGGTGTATGGATATCCTATTATCCCACACTGTTAAAAACATTATCCTTTCCCTATTGAATTTTTTGGCAGCACTGCTGAAAATCAATTGACCATAAATTTCACAAAAGTTTATTTCTAGGCCCTCACTTCTGTTCCACTGATCTACGTGCCTATCCTTATGCCAGTCTTGATTACTGTAGCTTTTGTAGGAAGTTTTGAAATGGGTACTATAAGCCTCTAATTTTGTTCTTTTTTTCATAATTGTTTTGCCTATTTTGGGATCCTTGCATTTCTCCATATAATTTAGGATCAGCTTGTTAATTTCTACAAAAAAGCTTACTAGGAGTTTGACAGAGATTATACTGAATGTATAGATCAATTGGGGAAGAACTGCCAGCTTCATTTTATAGTGTTTTTTTGTTATTATTTGTTTGTCATTGAGATTTGTCTTTTTTATTGTACTTCCAATCCTGTCCTTTGCCCATTTTCCCTGTATGGTTGTTTGTCTTTTTCATATCAATTTCTACAGATTCCACATAACACACACACACACACACACACACACACACATTGTTCTCATTAAGAAATTCATCCTGACCCCCAAATTCTAATTTATTCTCCTAGATTTTTTTAAGTTTGTATTTAAATTCCAGTTAGTTAGTATTCAGTGTAATATTAGTTTTAGTGCACGATACAGTGATTTAGTACTTCCACACTTCACCTGGTGCTCAGCACAGCAAGCGCACTCTTCAATCCCCACCACTATTTCACCCATGTCCCCGCTCCCCCGCCCCACCCCGCCTTCGCCTCTGGAAACCGTCAGTTTGTTCTCTATAGTTAAGAGTCTGTTTCTTGGTTTGCCTCTCTTTTTTTTTCCCCTTTGCTCGTTTGTTTTGTTTCTTAAATTCCACATATGAGTGAAATCATATGGTATTTGTCTTTCTTTGACTGACCTGTTTCACCTAGCATAATACTCTCTAGTTCTATCCGTGTCATTGCAAATGGCAAGATATCATTCTTTTTTATGCCTGAGTAGTAAGAAGTGCCATTTTAACACTACTGAGTCTTCTAATCCACGAGTAAGTAATGTCTCTCCATTAATTTAGAGCTGGTTTAGTTTCTCTCAACAGTGTTTTGTAGTTTCAATGTATAAACCCTGTACTTCTTTTATTCAATTTATTCCTAAGTATTTTATTCTTTTTTTTTTAAGATTTTATTTATTAATTTGAGACACAGAGATACAGAGAGGGAGAGAGAGCATGAGCAGGGGCAGAGGCAAAGGCAGAGGGAGAGGGCGAAGCAGGCTCCCCACTGAGCCAGGAGCCCGATGGAGGAGGGCTCGATCCCAGGACCCTGGGATCATGACCTGAGCCAAAGGCAGACGCTTAACCATCTGAGCTACCCAGGCGCCCCCAAGTATTTTATTCTTTTTGATGTTATTGTGAGTGGAATTATTTTCTTAATTTCATTTTTGGATTGTTCATGCTTAGTATTTAGAGGTACAACTGATTTTTTTTTAAATAAAGAAAGATTTTTTTATTTTATTTTTTTTCTCAATGAGGCTCCATGCCCAATGTCAGGCTTGAACTCACAACCCTAAGATCAAGAGTCTCACATTTCACCGACTGAGCCAGCCAGGTGCCTCTACAGTTGATTTTTTTTTTCTTTTAAAGATTTTATTTATTCATTTGAGACACAGAGAGAGAAAGTATGAGCAGGGGGAGAGGCAGAGGCAGAGGAAGAAGCAGGCTCCCCGCCGAGCCAGGAGCCCAGTGCGGGGCTCAATCCCAGAACCCTGGGATCATGACCTGAGCCGAAGGCAGATGCCTAACCATCTGAGCCACCCAGGCGCCCCAACAGTTAATTTTTTATATTGATCTTGTATCCTGTGATCTTACTAAACTTATTAGTTCTAGTAGTTTTCTTTTTTTTCTTGTGGCTCCCTTATGATTTTCTCCAACAGAATCATGTCATCTGTGAATCAAGGCAGTTTTATTTCTTCCTTTCCGAACTGTATGCCTTTTATTTTCTTTTTTCCCTGTGTACACTGGCTAGAACCTCCAGGAAAATGTAGGACAGATGTGAGAAGAACAAATACATATGCTTTGTTTCCGATCTTTGCTGCTCCATTGTTAAGGCATTTCTTGTTATTCCCAACCTTCTCCAATCAGAGCTGCTAGTGATTTTAAGTTAGAGAAATAATACTAAAGGTAAGGGAACCCAGACAAAGGAAAAGCATGCTTCTTTCCCAACCACAGCTGCAAATCAAAGGAAATGTAGCCAAAAGGCAGGCCCCTTGTGATTTAGAACATTCAAGGGATTGGCAGCCAGCTGCACTGTCCAAGGACAGGGACTGAATAACTTCTGGAACATTCACACTCAGTGGAATACTATGCATCCATTGAAAGTAGGTTCAAGAAGATGTTTTTATAGCATGGGGAAATTCTTATATCAAAATATCAGAGAAAAAAGAAAGAGCAACAAAAATAACACATATGGGATGGTGTCAACACCATAAAGAAATGCATATAGAGACAAAAACTAGAAAGGAAACATGTAGAAACCTTAATAATTGTTGTCTCTGAGGACTCATGGGTGGTTGATGTTCTGGTTTTTACATTTCTTTCAACTGCAGATTGCTCGCAATGACTATTTTGTAGCCAGAAAGGGAAAAGAAGAAATGACCTAAAGGGAAGACATGAGACACAGGGAAGTGTTAGCATCTCTTAGACTTACCTTACAGTACTCATCGATCGGTATGAGGCGTTTGACAGCCACGTCCCGGATGTGGCTCCGTCGGAAGAGAATTTTGCCTGCAGGAGTGAAGAGCACATGTGGCATTGTAAGGGGGCAATGACAAGTTCTCAGCAAACCGGGAGGGTGTGGATGTGGCTGCCTCTGGTAGGTCTGAGTGGTACCCAAATTCTGGCTTCCATTAACATCCCCTGCTGGATGTCCACAGGGCCTGGATGACCCCATGCATGGTCCTCCAAAGCCTTGTTCACAGCTCAAATGCAAGGGCTTGAGGGAGTGGGGCCCAGGAGGCAAGTTTTGGTGAGATAAGGGAGGCTGGATCAATCCTGAGAAGGAAGGGGCTCCTACCAGATGAAGAAGAAAGGCCAGATCTGATAATCGAACTCTCCGGTTCTCAGAGGGGTGAGCAGTAGAGTGGACAACCTAGCAGCTCAGCCTCCTTTCCTCTTCTGTCCTCCCATGCCTAGTCTAGTCTTCCATTCCGCAGATAATCCATACTCTTTCATTATTCTGTGCCTTTCCCTCTGTCTGGAATACTTTCCTCATCCAACCTCACCCACCATCCCAGTTGAGAAACTTTTATCTACTTCAAATGGATTAAGAGTTCCTGTCTCTTTCTGATTGTACGCACTATCGATTTGTATCTTCTTCTTTCCTCATGGGGAAAGTCATGGGGCTCAGAGTCATGGGGCTCTGCACACATAGGATTTGACTGGACCTTAATCAATTTTGTACCCTCACCACATGGCACTCATACTTGATGAATGTATAAAGGTGGATTTCACTTGCCAAGATGACAAATCCTTCCAATTGCTTCCCCAATCAGCTGTGTGTAACAGAAGGGTTCCAAGCCTTCCTGCCTCACCGAAAACTAGCTGAGAATCAGTCTACTACTTGTTTGGTGATATCCTGAACACTGGTTGTGGTACTAGATCTTCCAGTGTGATGTGTGGGCAGGTAACAGGCAAAGACAAGTATATAAACGATGAGGGTGTCTGGAAACATCCAAGATGCTAAAATGCTATCGGTGAGGTTTGTTTAAAGCAAATTGGTGAGTTTCTGTGAGTCTAATAGGGGAGTGGGGAGATGGTGGCCAAGTGCATGCACTGACCATTAAGACGGGTGGCCTCACCGTTCTGGACCTCTCACACAGGCAGGGGGCAGGAAAATCAGAAATAAGACACCAAAGGGGGTGCCCAGCTTATGCAGAGTGCCAGGAGTCTCCAGGGGAAGGTCAAAGAGGAGGGCACAGGGAGCCCACAGCTCTTCCAATAGCCAAGTATGGAGAGCTTCTGGTCAGAGGAGGCAGGTCAAGGAGAGCAATTCGGGTCACAAGGCCGGCAGGGCAAGGAGAGATCAACCAGTGCTCCAACATGGCTCTGGCGAGGCCACAATCTCCAAAGATCAAGCTTGGGTGAGCAGGAACAGGACAGTAGGAAGGTCCAAAGGAGGGGCACTGAGTGGCTCAGTCATCAAGCATCTGCCTTCGGCTCAGCTCATGGTCCCAGAGTCCTGGGATGGAGCCCCGCATCGGGCTCCCTGCTCAGCGGGGAGCCTGCTTCTCCCTCTCCCACTCCCCCTGCTTGTGTTTTCTCCCTGTCTCTCTGTCAAATAAATTTAAAAAATTAAAAAACAAACAAAAAAAAGGTCCAAAGGAGTCTTCATAAGATAGAATTGAAAGGGATGATGGGAAACAGCCTACTGACTCCAAGATTTGCAATGCAGGCTGGTTAGGGAGATTTGCACTCAAAAAGCCAATGTGGTTAATCTAACACTTAACATAATCTGACCCCTGGCTCTTGGGCAAACGAGCACAATTAGGAAATTATGCAGATATGGTCAACCTAATGGTGAAGTTTTTTTTTTTCTGCTTAATTTCTATCATTTAAAAAGAAAACAATAACCCAGAGTGAGATAAAATACATGTTCCTCATATTCTTTAATAACAGGGAATCTCCTTTGTTTATTATGGTGATTGTTTTAATTCTGCTTATGAGCCAAACTTCTGACATACCATGTTTATTAGAAAAGAAAAATCTAGAACAAAATGCATCACAGGATTCAAAGTGCTTGTCTCCAAGGGGTGGAAGACAGAGGCTTTTTGTTTTCTTCTTTGACTTTCCCCAAATTTCCTACCATAAACATGTATTGCTTCTGAAACCAGAAAGTTTTCATGTCATTTACCACAAAAAAGCAAAATATGCAGCCAAGTGGGGATGGTTTACAACCTGGTGCACCTGCTTTTATTCAGTTACCGTGAGCCCTCGATGGGCCAGCACAGGGGGCCTGCCCTCTTGACACTGTCAAGTGTTTCCCAACCGGGAGGGACGCTGTTGACATTCCGGGTGGGGCAGTGCTTCCCTATGTGGGAGTCCCCCACCCTGCAGGATGTTTAGCATCCCTGGCCCATCCCCATTTCCACCCCCAGTCATTGTAATAATCAAATTACCACCCTCGTGGGTGGGACTGTTTGCAGTGTAGAACCTCCAGGAGAATCCCGAGCCTTTAGGAAAAACAAGGAACGCCTGCCTGATGAGAAATCTCCCACAGTAAATGCTTCCTGCCTCTAATCTGTTTCTCAGAATTGGAGAGGAGTCCCTACCAAAAACATTTGGGTCCCATTTTGATATGATGTCCCCTTCTATAAATCAGAGGAAGGGTGGGGGAGTGGGGTATTCAGGCCTCTTACTGGGAAGCCTGTGACCCAACTCAAACAATTCACAATAGGCACGTTGCACGCACGGGCCCATGGGAACAGCACAGGCTGGTCCTGGAGTCACCACCGACGAAGAGAATTCACTCAAGGCCCAGCCTGCAGGGGCTGAGAGAGAAGGATAGAGAACTCTGGCACCTTCAAGGTCTCCTAGGGGTGTGACATGACAACAAAAGGACCACTCCTCTCCCTGAATGGCCTAGGAGTCTCCGGGCATATGGCAGACGCCCTGCCAACAAGGGGGACAGGAAGCCCTGTGGTGGCACCTGCTGGGGAGGCCATAGGCGCTGTAGTCAGCCAATCCAGGGTGACTGTGCTGCCTTGGGAAATGTATTTACTTCCCAGAGCCTCAGTCTCCTCATCTGTAAAATGGGAGAGCAGCCCTTATTTCTTAGTAGTAACCTCCATGACTCACCCAGCACAGGGCTTGGCCCTTCCTAGGTGCTCACAAAAGAGTAATCACATTTTTTTGTTGTTTTGTTTAAACAGGTTAGATGATACTGACTCATACTCTGTAATTAAGAGCACATGTTCTTTCCTCAACCTGCAGCTTGGTTTCTTAAGACCTGCCTCTGATAGGCTAATTCATCATCCATCTGCAGCAGACCTCGAGCCCGGCTCAGACCCTGGGCTGTGGGGCAGAACCATGTGGCCAGTACCTCCTTGGCTGGGGGCTCTGAGTGAAATGCCAGTTGGGACAATGCCCTTTATCTGTGCCTCATGGGTTTCTGTGTGAGTTGTGGGGAAGGAGGGTGAGGCTTCCCCGGCAGGCCAGCCTTCCTGGAGTGGAAAGGGTGCTAGGCAGAGAGCATAGCCTTTGGTGGGAACGGGCAGGCTTTTGTTTTCCAGTGGTGGAAGGCCAAACTGTAAGTCTTATTTTTCAAGCCACATCCTCTGCCAAGTTGGCTTCCCCAGCTCTTGCTGGGATGGAAAATTGTACAGGGCTGCTTCACCCTCCCCCTGCCTTTGTGCTAACAAGAGACTTGCTTTTGTTCTGCTGACGCGGCAGTCTTGGCAGAAAATGGACCCCTAGGGGAGGGGATGTTCCTCCTGTGTATCCCTGCCCTTGGCCTTGGCCTCAAGGAAGAGTTAAGAGGTGGGCCATGAAGGGATGCTCTAGGGGTCCTGGGGCCCAGCCACACCTCTCCGAGCAGCAAGTGCATGCCCCAAGCAGGAAAAATGGGGCTGAGTCTCTGAGAACAGCATTTTCATAAATTCGTGGGTGGAAAAGGATTCCGTAACCATGAAAGCTTTCAGGGGCTTGGGAGAGGGTCAGCTCAAGTTCTTCCCTGTGCTGGGAAGTTTTTTCATAGCTGGCTTTTGCCTTTCATCCAGTAAAGAGTTATAACTCCCTGCTTTCCTTTCCTTCCTTGAAGAAAAAAACCTACGATTGGGGTCCAGTTCAACTTGAATATTCAGATTGATCATTGAAGTATGACCCTAAAACATGAATACGAAGAAATTCCCAAGGAATGTCCCAGGATCCTGTTTCTGACCTTTGCAGAGAACCCACTATGTGCCAGGGAGAGAAGCTTTGTAAAGCGGGAGGCATTGTCCCATTTTACAGATGGAGAAACTGAGGCTTGGGGGCAGGGGGTTTTCATCAGCGTGAGGTCACAGAATTGGGTCTGTTTGACTCCAAAGCACAAGCTCTGGAGCACTGCTAGTTGGCTGTTGCATTGGTACACTGGGTTTTCTCCAATAGGGAACAAAAATTCTAGTGTGACTGCACACTTTCTCCGTGGAAGAACTAAAAACGTTAGCTTTTTTAGGCAAATGATTCTCCCAGTAGATGAGGCCTGGCAAATACATCTACCCTGTTTCTAAATCCACTCTGTGATGCCATTATCTGGAAGAACCACTCGATGTTCTGATGGCAGAACCCTGGAGTAGGGAGGAGAGAGTGGGCTTCTGAGGGACTCAGGGAGTCCCCCTCCTCTCAGGGCCTGCTCCCTCATCAGCAAAATGAAAAAGATCTAAAGGGCCCTTCCAGCTCTGAATATCTGTGATTTAGGGCGACTATCAATTTGCTGATTATCTGTACATAAAAATAATAGTAAGTGCTTGACTGCTGTTAGTTATGTGCCACTTAGCACCTAGCTAATCCTCACAACAACTCTATTATTTAAGTATTACTATTATCTACAATTTGCAAATGAAGAATGAAACTCCGCATGCTTAAATAATTTCCTGAAGGTAACAGTGTTTGAGTGGGGGGCATTGGGATTTGAACCTGGGCTGTCTGACTTCAGGCATGAATTTTGGAGCCAGCCAAAGCTGTGTTTGAAGCACAGCTCTGTTATCTGTGCAAATGATTATAAATTTCTCTGAGCCTCAATTTCCTCATCTGTAAAATGGGCACAGGGTTGTTCTGAAGACTAAACAAGGTAATGAATGTAAAGCACTTATCCCCGTGACGGCCTACAGTAGACATCCAATATTATTACTTGAGGTAATAACTCTGGTTTGGGTAGCCCATTTTTTTGAGCTGAAGCCTTAATACTATTCCTTTGGTAAGGAATTTTTTTGGTGGGGGGAAGAAACACTTAATGTCTTAAGGGCAGGGATCAGCCATGAGTGTATTAACTCCTCCATAGTGCCTGGAGGAGTGCCTGGCACTCAGAAGGTGCTTGGCAGCTGTGGCAGATAGGCAGGCAGATTTCTAAAATGGACCCCCAAAGATGTCCCATTGTCATCCCCAGAGCCCCAGAGCCCCAGAGCCTATACATATGATGAGATCTCACTCCTGGGATCATGTTACAACATATGCCACAGTTCTATTTAAGAGAGGGAAGTTATCCTGGATTAGCTAAGTAGGTATAATGTAATCACATGAGCCCTTAAAAGCAAACAGCTTTCTCCAACAGGTGGCAGAAGGGGAAGTCAGAGAGATTCAAAGCATGGGAAAGATTCAATGCTCCACCGCCAGCTTGAAGATGGATAAGGAACGCAGTCAGCCTCTGGAAGCTGAGGGGTCCCTGGCTGAGAGCCAGCAAGGAAACATGTATTCTACCTCCATAGCTGCAAGGAATTGAATTCTGCCAACAACCTGAATGAGGCTGGAAGTGGATTCTTCCCTAATCCTCCAGATAAGAGCCGAGCCTGGCCAAGATGATGACCTCTGCCTTGGGAGACTCTAACCAAAGAACCCAGCAGCACCTGCCTGGACTTCCTACCAACTGAACTTGAGATAATAAATGAGGGTGGTTTTAAGCTGCTAAATTGGTGTGAATTCATGACATGGCAATGGCAAAGTAATACTGCAGCCATAACAAAGATGCCACTCACTACAAAAGCTTTATGAGCTCTAATTATTCCCATTGTAGAGAGAGAAAAAACTGAGGATCCTGGAGGTGAAGTATCTTGCCTAAGAGGATGGTACAGCATCCAACCCCAAAGCCCATATTCTTAGGCACTAATTTCTACAAACGGCTGGGACTCTGGTCATTAGGACAATGCCCCAGGAAGCTGAGCTGAGAAATGCGGGGGCTGTCCTGGATCCCCCCAGAGCCCCTCTAACAGCATGTGTCTCACCCACCTGGCAGAAAGGGAATGATCCGCTGTTTGGGATCCTTCTGTCCTCCTTCCATGGGAAATTTGTCCAACATCTGCATCTAAACAGGGGGAGAATAGCAAAAACGGAAGCCTTTAATATGATAAATGCATTTCTGACATTTTAAGGGAATTACGTGAAATATGTGATTTAATATATAAAGGCTCACTGTGTTCAGCTTTTCAGAAACCCAGACTAATGGGAAGGCAATATCAACTGGACCTAGGATTTCCATAAAAAACAATTCTCTCTGTTCATAGCCGCCATATCAGTGAAGGCTCAGAGCTGGGGGAGACCACTGTCAGTTTTCCTGGGGGTCTCCAGCCAAAGGACCTGAAATGTGAACAATACCCCCAGAGCCACCAGAATTCCACTGACAGCAGGTCAATCTGTTTCCTAAGAATTGCAGGTTTTGTCAGGTAACAAACCACTGGGACTCAATTAGTCTGGTTAGGTCTATGCCTGTGAGATCATTACACTCCCCTGCCACACTAAGATTCCCCAGGTTGGCCCAACAGATAGATCTGTGCCCTGCTCTGTGCTAGGTACATGGGGTTCAGAGATGAAAAGACTTGAAGTCTAGAGAGCCAGAAGAGGAAATAAATCCTTACAGGGCGGTGTAGGAAGCACCTTCAGAGGTATATGTAGGCTGCTGTAGAGGGGAGAAGGAACAGGGGCCGAGTTGCCAAACTGGAAACCTTTACTAGTGTGATAAATGCCTCTCTGATTTGATATACAAAATCCCAAGGACCTGTGGCTTATGGTCTTGGGGAAGTGACAGACCCTGGGTCTCATCTCTAAGTTGGCCATAATGATACCAACGTGCAGTGTTACTTTACGGATTAAAGCGGGGCTGTGGTAGTGACTGAGGCTGCCATCAGATTTCTGGTTCTTCTCCTGAGCACACGGTAGATTTGTACTCCCCACCTCCTTGCGGTGGGATGTGGCCGGTTAAATGTGAGCAGAAGAGACATGTGTCACTTTGGGGTGGGAGAGTTATGAGTGGTGCGTGATTTACTACCCTCACTTCTTTCTGCCATGTGACTGGCCACACTGCAGACAGTAGCTTCTCTGCCACTGAGGGTCCGGAGTCCCCAACAACCACGGAGGGAGATGGACCCTAGTTGTATAGAGAGGCTCTCTGTCATAGCATCATAGCCACCCTACTGGTACCTGGGCCCGGGATTCAAACAGGAAGGGACTCTTGAGCCTCCCACGTGACGGCTGGAATGTGAAAAGCCTGCTCATCGTTTCTTCTCCAGCAGAAAGTCACCCTGGCATTCAAGATGCCCCTCTGTAGAAGGAAAGAAGCCCTGCATAGCCCTGGAGAAATAAGCACAGCTAGTGCATAGGGGGAGGGAGGAGAGGTCGCAAGGGCAAGAGAAACAGGTTATCTGTGCCAGGCACAGACTAGATTCTTTAGACACATGCTCTCACTAAATCTTCTGAACACTCCTTCAAGGTGGACATGATTAGCCAGGAAACTGGAGCCCAAAGAGGGAAGAAATCTGCCACGGGCCTGCAGCCAGCAAGCGGCGTGGCCAGAGATGGAAGCCCGTGGCTTCTCTGCCGTCACACTACCCGCCTCGATGAAAACGGATTGCTCTGTGGGCCTGGGAGGCAGGCGGGGGCTCCCTGCCCCGTTGGTGCTGTCTTCTGTGATGCCCCTGGGGAGGCCGGTCCGCCTCGGCTTGGCCGGCACCCTGATGGGCTGCCCAGAGGTCACGGTCTGATTTGTGGTTTCCTGTTGGCCCTACTCTGTGCTGCGTGACAATGGGACATGCTTGGTCCACCGTCATTCAGCAACTGGAGAGCCCACAGCAGGCCTGCTGCAAAGGCGGGCTGCTTTCTTTGAATCCAGGAGCTTTCCGACTCTGGGACAAAGTAGGTACTCAACACCAACCGACCAAAGCAATGAAGGCAACTGAGTGGAACACTCTAGGAGACAGCTTCACGTGTTCACTAAGTGCCCTAGTTAATACTCTTCATATCACTAATATTAAATAAGAATTAGTCACCACTCTAACAGTTGTTTGGCAGTTTACGGTTAGCAAGCCTTCGCATGCATGATTTGATCTGACCTTCACAGTAACTCTGTGATATAAATGTACGCTGCCCATGTCCCAGATAGGAGAAACTGGGGAGCAGAGAGGGACAGCTGCTTGAGGTCACCCAGCTGAGTGGTGGTCCAGCCAGTTCAAGGACCTTAATCGAAATCCCACTCTCTTTCCCTAAGGTCACTCTCAAAGGTGGCTTTGGAGTGTCATGCAAGCGTGAAAAATCAGCCTGAGATGAAGTAAGTTTAATATTCTGTGCACAGGTGAACAGCATGCTTTCTTTTGAAAAGCGGGGTGATAGATCAGTCTCAGCCACAGAGTCTTTTAGAGATGATAGGTTTTGCCTAATGCCATCTTTTTTGGTCCTTCTCAATTTTATTTGTTAGGACAATGCTGGAACACCGATAAAGGGAACTCAGGAGAAAAAAAAACAAGGTATGCACCAGTGATCCATCCACCTGACCATGCCCGTTCACCCTTCTCCCAGCATCCTTCTGAGCCTCTGTCTGAAGGAGGCCAGAGAACCCCCAGTGCTGCCTGCGGTCTCTGACAGTGTGTCTTAGGAAGTTACTCTCTCATCCTTTTTCCTGACTTGCTTTTACCCAGACAAGCATGGCCCAAAGAGCTGAAGTGTCCTCTCAAGTGTTGCCAATTGAGGCAGCAGACCTGGGTTTCATGATGCAATATCTAACCACAGATGGTACCCCTGGGGACCAGACAGTCCTGGGGTTACATCTTGATGCTTCCTCAGGCCAGCTGTGTGTCAGGGGCCAGCCTCCTCGCCCAGGGAGCCCGAGTCACCATCTGGGGAACGAGGACCACAGTCTGCCTGGCAGAGTCTCGCTATGTCCGTGAACGCTGAACGTGAGCCCTTCGGGGACATCCAGGTGCTCAACAACGGATCCCCTCTCTCCTGGCACTCCGCCCCCTAAAGAAGACATTATTCTAAAAGTTATTTGGGAATGATTTTTAGTAGTTTGTGAGGCTGTGTGTTTTAGAAATTGTGTTAAATACACTTAACATAAACTTTACCATTTTGAACATACAAGGAGTGGCATTAAGCACATTCACATTGCTGTGGAACCATCACCACCATCCATCTCCAGAACCTCTTCATCATCCTAAACTGAAAGTCTGTCCCCATTAAACACTAACTCCCTATTCTCCTCCCCCAGCCCCTGGCAACCACCATTCCACTTTCTATCTATACAAATCTACCTGTTCTAGGTGCTACATGTCAAGGAATCGTGCAGTATTTGTCCTTCGGTATCTGGCTTATTTCGCTCTGCATCATGTCTTTGAGGTTCATCCATGTTGTAGCAGGTGTCAGAATGTCCTTTCTTTTTAAGGCTGAATAACATTCCAGCACAAGGCTGTGTTTTAAGGTTAGCAAAACTCCTCAGACTATCCAAGTCCCCTCAGGAGCCAGAGCTTGGTTGTCCAACAGAACCTTCTGCAATAATGGCAATGTTCTATATCTGCACAGTTCCTTACCGTAGCCACTAGCCCTAGATGGAGCTCCAAGGCTGAGCACTTGAAACATGGCTCCGGAGATGGAAGAATCGAACTTTTAATTTTATTTAACTCTTATTAATTTAAATAGCCTCACATGACTAGTGCCATGATCACAGACAGTGCAGGGCTGAACTATTAACACCCATCCTCCTCATTTAGCTTTATCCAGTTTTATTTCACTTTCTTTATCCCTCTGTCAATGGTCATGACAATCTAAGAGGACTATTTGCAAGGACAGGAGATCAGAGGCCTGTGAGGTATTTTGCTTTTGGTCTTAGTGTGTCCAGATTCATAGGCCACAGGCTGCTTCTATCCAGAGGGCTGTCATACTTGGCACCCACAGGCCACATTCCAGACACTCTGTGGGGACCCCTGGACCCAGGCTGTCTGCAGCAGCAGGACCAGAGGCATGCCGGGCTAAGGCCAACTGTAGACTGCTCTCCTTGGAAACTAGAAAATCCATCCCTTCCCTCCAGTTAATGAAAGGAAGTGGTGCTCGGGGTGAGGAGGACTGGAAACCGAGGAAGAAAGTGAGTCAGTCTGGGGGACGGGAAGGGAGAGGGAGCCACGTCAAGTGGCCACATCGCAGGCCTCCACGGGGGATGAGGGAACACTCCATCAGCAGTTTTCAAGATCAGCTTGTGGTAGAGAGAAAGGAGACATGCTGTCCAAGGAAAACAGTGTGGAAGCTGGCGTGGAGGGCCACACGTGGTTTGTGTTAGTGGCAGACTGGACTTGAAGGGCTTTACTCCCTCAGCATCACTAAGCCTCCCGTCCCAGAAGAGCCAGAGCAGACCGTGGAGACTGTCACGCACAGCTGCCGACAGGGTCGCTGGGAAGCCACGTGGTCCTTGGAGCGCGACAGGACATACCCGGAGCCGCCTGACATGGCTCGCTGTCTTTGGAGATTCTGTCCCCTTGAGGGGTGGTCTGGGGAAATGTTAACATGCTCAGGTGTCCTGGGGGACATGCCACGTGGGCCCTGCCTCCCCCCCCGTCTCTCCACCTCGCTCTTCTCCCTGCGGCCCTTTGGTCCAAGTCAGCAGGTCCTCAGTCTGACTTCCTTACTGGTCTGCCTGCCCTTGGGCCTTCCCCAGCACCGCCTCCCTGGTATGAGCTGGGTACCTGGCATACAACTGTGCAAAGAATGAATGAGTAAAAAAAAAAAAAAAAAGTGGTTATCGGGTTTGGTCAGCCATGGAAAGCCCTCCCCTATTCTGCTGTCTAGGACAGGAGAAATTAGGTTCCAGGGGGCAGCAACAGGACCTGGCCTGGGATTCAGAGGCAACTGACCAACACAATCTTGCTCCTTTCTCTTTCAGAAAACAAGAATTGCTGACTGTGTGGGAAAGGGCAGCTACGGTACTGTCTCAGCTACCCACCACCGAGATGGCCCCAGCTTTTCAGATGGAAGGGAAGAAAGACTCCATCAGGCGTGTACAACATGTGGGAGGCACTGCAATTTCAGAAGACAGTGCCTGTGTGTGAG